AATGAAGTGAGCCAACTGCTAACATGGGGCTTCATGATGGAAGGGTGGCAGACTGATCCATGCACCCCCAAAACTGAGATAAAAATACTCCCAAAAATTGCCGAAACCGGTTTGGCTCAGTGGAGAGAGCGTCGGCCTGCGGACTGAGGGGTCCCAGGTTCGATTCCGGTCAAGGGCATGTACCTGGGTTGCAGGCACATCCCCAGTGGGAGATGTGCAGGAGGCAGCTGATCGATGTTTCTCTCCCATCGATGTTTCTAACTCTCTATCTCTCTCCCTTCCTCTCTATGAAAAATCAATAAAATATATTAAAAAAAAAAAAATACTCCCAAAATATATGTGTGAGCACATCACCAGGAATAGTAATTTTGAGATATGTCCACATGTCAGAGCCTGAGGAGAACTTCCACTAATTCCCCACTAATTCCAACGCTGATGAAACTGGGGAAACACAACTCCCACCCCGAGAACCACAGCGGCCCCCGGGAAGGAAGGCTTTCACTCACCACCACTGTTTGTTCTTGCCAGGGACCCAGAGGCTACAGTGGCCATCAAAGCAAGCAACTGTTTCCATGGTGATCTATTCCCCAACCCAAACCCACCTCGGCAGCACCCCTTTTCTAAGCTCCTTTAGAAAACACCCCTCTGAGAGTAAGCAGAGCCAGGGGTTGGTGCGACCATCCTGGATCACTGGCAGGGCAGATGAGAAGCAGAATGTACCTGGGGTCACTGACTGCTGTGTTCCAGTTTGGGAGCAGGAAGGAGAGCAGGAGAGGGAAGGACAAAGGCTGATGTAATTCTGTGGCACAGGGAACCAACCCAACAGTATGGGCCATCAAGATCCCGCTTCTGCCCTGCAGCCCTGGACGAGATAGCTGCATGTCTTCTAGAAACAGGGCTCTCTAGTCTAGGGCTGGAAAGGGGAAAATTTTCCCAGATCTGGGTAAAGTGAAGATAGAACAGAGAAGGCTAAGGAGTCATTATAAACCCTGCTTGCTCACAGTCCCTGGCCCTACAAAGAACAATAATGGTTGAATCACAAAGCAGAACAGAAAAAAGCAAAAGGGACCATATAAAAACAGCTTCTATTGCAAAATAAAGACAGCATTAGGCTAGATAAAAAGGCTTTATATATACACATGTAAATTATGTATATATGTAATATATACATGGATATTACATGGGTACATACATTATATTAATATACATTATATAAATTATTTTAAATTTTATAATAAATAATTTAAAATTTGTAAATGACAGTAGACAACTAAATCAATGTTGTAGAAAACACACTCAAGAAGGAATGCAGACTGCAGAGGTGCAAAAGAGAAAAATAATGTGAGAAGAGATGGGTAAAGTGAAAAACGAATGAAAATCTAGCATTAAAATGAGAGGCATTCCTGAAGAACAAACAGAAATAATAACCATCAAAGATGTGAAAGCAAATGAACCTAAGCTCAAAGGAAGACTCGAGACAGTAATCCAAGGGGCTGACACTGTTACTGACAAAAATCATGTGAAATACCTACACCCAGACATTTCATAGCTGCTATGAGGAAGCCCTGAGGAGAGCACACCCTAGCACAGCTGCTACAGAAGGGGACACTGGATTAGACACTGATAGCCCCAAACTGGAAACCCAAATATCCATCCTGAATAGAATGGACATAGAAATGGGGTCATAGTATCAATAATGGAATACCATATATTAATGAACATGAATGAACTTCTGATAGCGGCAATTTTAGTTTAAGATTAAGATAGCATCACAAGGCTATTCAATAAATAGCATTTCAAAAACTTTTTTTATTATAATTCATATGTCTAATAAAACTTCACATGACACCCTGTAGAAGTGCAAGAGACTGCTAATGAATATACATGAACTCCCTGGGTATACTGCAAACTCTTTGGGGAGAGACAATGAATATTATGCCTATTTTATTTCTTCCTCCATCCAGAAAGCACTTGGGTAAGCATTCCTGAAATGAATGAATGAACAGGAATGAACAAAGGAATGAATGAATGAATGATTGTCTCAACCGATTCATCGTGGCTGAGTTTGCTTGTTGGGTGATGCTCAACTCCAGTCTGGCCAACTTGCAGCAGCTTTGCACTATTTCCTCCTGAGCTTTGTGTAAAGAGAAGAAACAGAAACTTTCCAGAGTGAATGGCAGCTGGAGATGGCGTGCGTGGAGAGAGGCTCTTGTCCTGCCTGTTCTCTGTGGGGACCCACCCAGGGACTGGGCTCCTTTGACCTTTACCTTGAAGGAAAGGGGCATTCTGTTCCTGGTGATAAGCACCAACCAACCTATCCCCATGGTGATCCTGAAGCAGGAGGCTGCAGGGTGAGGAGGGGGCGAGCAGAAAGTGAGGGTGGTACCCAACTAGTGTCTGCACCAGAGTTAGCCGGACCACAAGGGATGCTCCACTGTCCACCAGTGTCCAACACATCAAGTGCCTGTGCAACACCGCGAGACCTCTGAGAATAGATGAGTGGCCTCGAACAGCAGGACTGAGGACAGCTTGACAGGAGGCAGCCCCAAGAGAACAGCAAGCAGGCAAAGGCTCAGAGACCTCGGCTCCCTGAAGCACCAGCAGCAGTCACCCGGACCGATTCTTGCCAGCTGGTTTTCAGACCTTGCTCCCCAGCTCTAAACTCAGTGCACATCTGCACAGCCCTGCCCGAGCCCCACGATGCTCATAAGAAAGCATGAGCAGTCATAACTCAGGGGTCACCTTGGCAAAAAACAATGAAGTAGAAGAAATCTTCCATCAGAAAATACATGGATTACCCTCCTGAAGGACAAAGGCAGCACCTTCACCAGCGCCCTCAGGTCCTGAAGTCCCGCTTCCTTCCACCAGGGCTTCCCTCCTGAGCCTGCCCATCTGAACTACTAGAGTCACTCCCTGCTCATCTCGCCTGCTAAGAAGGAGCCTTTCTTTCTTTTCTTTTCTTTTCTTTTTTTTTTTCATTGATTTCAGAGAGGAAAGGAGAGGGAGAGAGAGACAGAAACATCTTTGATGAGAAAGAATCATTGATCATGCCTCCTGCACGCCCACACTGGGGATTGAGCCCTCAACTGGGAATCGAACCATGACCTCCTGGTTAATAGGTCAACGCTCAACCACTGAGCCACGCTGGCTGGGCAGAAGGCACCTTTCAGCCCTGCCCAGCTGCCTGGCCCTGGGTGAAACAGCTGGTGAACTCTGATGTTTGCCCAAGAACATGCAGGGTGTTGCAGCCAGGTGCTCAGAGCAGGGAACAGGGCTGAAATCTCACCAGCCATCCTCTTGAAAGGCCGCACCCAGAGGTGGCCCAGATTTAACAAAAACAAAACAAACAAACAAAAAAAAACGCCTTGCTCTGAGAAGTGTTGGAGAAATCATCTCTTGGTTATTTGCAAGGTTGGGTGGCAGACGGAAAGAGGAAGGGAAGTGGAAAGCAGGATCTGGGACAGCCACAGGGGATCTTCAAACTTCATTTGGTTAGTAATCTCGCATCTTTGAGAGTTGCCGGTTCTTGGCCTCTGTTCAGCAAAACCCACTCAGGGGGCTCCTGCTAACTGACAAACCCAGGGGACCTACACAAACACACGTGCAAACCCGCCAAATCAATGCACCACCTGCCCTCATCTCCACTGGGGGCCGACTCCTCGGGGTGTGGGGGAGCCTGAGCCTCACCTCACCTGCCCATCGCGGCCAAAACTAATGAAGGCTGGGCTCCCGTCACAGGCAGTTAGGGCTCTCTTGCATGCATCTGTGTCCTGCATCTGACTGTTCTCTGGCCAACTGAAGGCCAGTAGAGCTAAGAGTCCTGCTGTCCTCTCGGGCCACCACTCTGTCCAGACCACAGTGAGCAGCTGCTGCCCTAAGGAGCCTGGCCTTGCCCACTCGCTCTGACATCCCAGCCTCCTCTGGACCCAGCCCACCCACCTCTGCCACTCCACTGCTTGCTCATGCAAATAAGCAAGCCCCTAGGGAAGCATGCCAACAAAATAAACAAGGGCAGGGAAAGTTATCACACGGCCCCATCCTTCGATTCCCTCATCTGCTGCAGATCATGAAGCAAGTGTGGCTTCCCTGGCCCCGCACTGAATCTTCCCACCTTCCCCGGTGAAAAAGGAGCGCAGAGAAGGCATGCTGGCTCGGACCATTACACTTAAAAGCAAAGATGGGAGCCATCTGGGGTAATTTCGGCTTCTCTCTTTTAGAAAATAAATTAGTAGACTTCGTGTTTTAAAATGTGTTACAAGGAACACAGCATTCCAAAACACTGGGAAAAAAACGATTCTGGTTTGGCCTCAGCAGATGTAGCACCTAGGCAAACATCTGGCTGAATCAACCTAATTCTCTATTCCAGAAAATAATTCCTTCTCTCTTGCTTTAATTTTCTTTTTATCGGGGGTTGGTTTACCAATGGGGACACAACAGGGCAGTGTCCCAGGACGAAGTCAGTCACTGCGTTCTCAGGTTTTTTCCCATCCCTCATTCTGCCCTGAATACTCAGGGCTGAACTGTGTTACGAAGGAACAGAGGCGATAAAAATTATCGCTGTCCACCTCGACGCAGCTTCCAGACAATTTCTCAGCTGGGCAGGATTCAAAGCACATGGCCACACGTCAAGAGACAGCCATTAACAAGGCTTCACCCTCCCCCACAGCTGGGCCCCAGCGTAAATGACAATATGGGAACAGGAAGACACCGTGTGTGACAGAGATTCCATAAACTGCAAAATACACTTGGGGAGTTGAAGGCTATCCTCCCAGTCAGTAGCCAAGGAAACGGAACTATCCACCATCGATCTCTCAGGCCTCGAGGTCCATCCCACACAAAGAAGTCCTTCGGGCAGAATTTACCTCTGAACTCTTTCCCGTCCACCACAGTCAGACGGGGCCACAACTGGTGGCCAGAGCCTGGCCCTTTCACCTGAGATGCACAATAGCCCCAAGTGCCTCTCCGGATGGCTAAGCTCCCAGACGGGGCGGGCTCCTTACCATCGAGCTCCTCCACGGAGATATTTGCAAGCTGCTCGCTGTCGCTGCCAGCAGAGAGAGACCGGTTGAGGTAATTCCCCTTGTACAACAGGCCAGCGGTCACATGGTGGAAAGGCATCTTCTCCCTGTTCACGGGAGGAGGGAAGCGAGAGAAAAAGACATCGTCAGTCACTCCTCCTTTCCGTCCTTAAAGGACCACCCCGGCTTTCCCATGGCCAGTGTTATCTTTTACATAATAACATCTCTAGAGGGGAAGTCAGAAAACTCCGGGGTACCCAGGGCTGAACAAACCCTACAGGGACTCAAGATCTAGCCCTTCCTCCACTGTATGTCTTGCGTCATTGTTCCCACTGAATTATGAATTTGAAGCGAGTTGTCCCTGCAGACTGTGGGACACCCTGTCATCACCAAGCTGTCTCCGTACAAACAGGAACACCCTCTGCTCCTCTCCCTCGCCTGACACCCTCTTTCTCAGTTCTCATAAGACAGGACTGCGCACCCCAGAAATGTCGGGCTGCCCAGGGTCTGGATGTCTTGGCTGGGGACCTGCAGAGGTCCAAGGGTTTCACTTTTCCCAGGCAAAGCAGGCATTCCACTCACACAGCACTCCAAGCAGGGGGAATGAGCGGCTCTAAGTGAATATGCATACCAGTGTGCACCTTTGAGGAGCGGCCCCCACGCCCGACTCCCCCGACTCGCACCTGCCCTACTATAAAGGTGAGTGACATCTCAAGGTGTCCCAGAACTAAGCAGCTTCCAGCCCTCTCGGGGAAATGAACTAATGCAGTGGTTCTCAACCTTCTGGCCCTTTAAATACAGTTCCTCATGTTGTGACCCAACCATAAAATTATTTTCGTTGCTACTTCATAACTGTAATGTTGCTACTGTTATGAATTGTAATGTAAATATCTGATATGCAGGATGGTCTTAGGCGACCCCTGTTAAAGGGTCATTCGACCGCCAAAGGGGTCACGACCCACAGGTTGAGAACCGTTGAACTAATGCATCCCTCTACCCCCAACTAACAAACCCTCCACGCAAAGCTGCTCTGCCCAGATGACCACCTCCACTGGGCCTCAGAAGTCCCCCACAGTGCAAGGCAGGCCAGAGGCTCCAGGCAAAGGGAAAGGGGAGGGAAAGGCGTGTGTTGAGAAGGAAAGGGCAGGTACAAAGGATAAAGAGGAAAGGCAGTTAGAAAGATGGGCCCTCCCAGGCAGAAAGGGCCCAGCTCTGTCACAGTGAGGGAGCCACTGAGCATGTCAGGCTCTGCTTCCCCATCTGGAAAGGGACTAAGAGGACTAATAAACCACTGAGTGGAACTAGAGAATAGGTAGGAAGAACAGGGAGCCAATTACAGGGTGTGGCTAAAGCACATCTTCTTAGCAGGGCTCCCAGAAGGAGAACTGGGCAGCCCTGGAAGGAGTAATCTCCCCGTCCCTGGGAGCATTCAAGCACAGATGAGGGCCTCCCTGCCAAGGGCTCTGAGGGAGAGGAATGACCCCTTGCTCTCTCCCCACACAGCTATCGTTCTGCATGTAAGTCACTTGTAGAGACCTGTCCAGCACTAAAGCTTGCGTCTGTAGGATAAGCCAGAGTGGCCGGAGCAGCCCCTGTGGCCACTGCTGAGTAACGAGGTATGAATTACAGGAAGAAGCCAACGGGCCAGTCTCTAAGAACGATAGCTCAGGACAGCCAAACCTCGCTGACCCTCGAAACCCACTCAGGGAGAATCCACACTTGGCGATCGTCCCTGCTCATGGGATACCGGAACCAGCACACACCAGGGGTGGGGCTCCTGTCTTCTTTCCCCTGGGACACCACTGGTGACAGGCACAGCTGGACACGACCCTACTGTCCCCAACACAGCAGCAGGTCCTTGCTGGGGCTGAGCACTGCTGACCTAGAGATCAACCAAGTAGACTCCTAAGAGTTACAGGGCTCGCCCAAGAGCACAACACCGGTTAGGGAAAGAATCCTTTCCAGAACACAAGCCTCCTAAGTGCTGTTTCGACGAAGCAGCCACAGCTGAGCTAAGACATTTCCATCCAGATGTCAAACTCTCGTTTTAAACTCAAGATGTCTAAAAACGAATTAATTATCTTCCTAAAAAATAGGCCACACTTCCTGATTTCTCTATTTCTATCAAAGGTACTTTTCATTCATCATAACAACTGGGACAACTCTCACAAATGCTCTGGGCCCCGAACAGTCAGACAGACCCAGGGCTGAGGCCAGAGCCAGCCGTCAGCCTCCAAACCACGCGAACGCTCTACCGCTCACAAAACACACATCCACGGGCCGATCGTCAACGGCAGGACGCTGGCCGCAAAGCGCGCACACGTTTGCCAAGTATATAATGTACATCTTCGGCTAGTTATAAGCCAGACGTCCCCCTCCCAAGCCAAATCTGTCCTTTCACACAAATAGAAAACAATCATCTTTTTCTGGAAGAACAATTGCCATCTCCTCTTTTCTCCAAGTCAAATTTCAGACTGAACAGGTTGAAAAGCAAGTATCAGACGTATAAGTTAAGGCCACTCTCCCTTTTCCTAAAGCCAATCCGGGTTTGGGGGACCGGGTGCCGTGATTGTCTGACAAAGGACTGCATTCCCGTGGCCCAGGGAGAGAGAAGTCAACACCACTAACACTTCCCGCGTGCCTTCAGCTCCCTCTCAGCACTGGCCCGGGACCCCAGCTGCCTCACCTGCTGTTATTCTGTCATTTCAGTTCTTCGTGAGCATGGGAAGATGACACTGATCTTAGCGAATTTCCCTGCCTGGAGGAGCCCCTCTCCGATCAGTACCAGCCCTGGAAACATCCCTCCCCGTTTCATCACTCATCACTCTAGTTTCCAAGCATTTTGTAAATATCTTCCCTTTATCGCCTTTTACCTGGACGTCTGAAGCTTTGCATCTGACACACACATTTTTGCAGCTGCATAACAAAGTTATACGCAAACGAACATACCCAAGCCATGTCCCAGTACAGCACATAATAAACAGTGAGTACTTGGCAGAAAAAAACACACCACAAAACTGGTCATAACTGAATCCTATTTGATATGCCAACATAATTTGCTTCTGGAAAAAAGCAGCTTACAAAATTAGGTATATATTCAGTTCCTTCGGTCTCTGCACCCAAAATGTTCAGTGCCTAGTGGGAAAGAAAACATGTGCAATTGAACTATCCATACAGATAAATAAAGTCATGTTCAAAAGAGGGAAGAACATTATTTCAAGTAAGCTAAAAACAGATGCTGCAATTAAGGACTAAATTTCACTCCAAGCCACCTGGGGAAACCCAACCAACATTTTCTCTTTGGCGAAGGAAGAAAAACACACAAGTTCATCGGCAAAGACAAACATGGCCCTGAACTGAAACTTGAAGATGGATCCTTATATGGGGGGCAATGAACACAAAACATATGTAAATATTTTCACGGCAACTTTACTCATTGAGAAATATTATTTAACTGACTTTATCATGTGGACACTTTCTCTGTGGCTTCTGTAAGGCAGTATGACTTCATGTTTAAGAATCAGGACTTCTGCCTGCCCGGTGTGGTTCAGTGGCTGAGCCTCGACCTATGAACCAGGAGGTCACGGTTTGCAAGCACATGCCCGGGTTGTGAGCTCGATCCCTGGTCGGGGCCATGCAGGAAGCAGCCTATCAATGATTCTCTCTCATCATTGATGTTTCTATCTTTTTCTTCCTCTAAGAAATCAATAAAAAATATATATTTTTAAAAATCAGGACTTTTGCAGAAAAAACAGTGTTAGATTTAAATCCTACCCCTGCCTTCAATACCCATGTCAGTAAGTTACTTATCTTCTGTAAGCCTGTTTCCTCCTCTGTAAATGAGGGTTTTGATACACACTGATTAGTGTTTTTATAAATTTAATATAAGGTATGGAAAGCACTGTACTTAGCACCAGGAACATTCTCAATAAATATCAGTAATTATTTGCTAAGGGTTATATGAAACAGGATACAGGGAGAAGAGGAGGTCACGGGTATATCGGATTGAAGATCACACATTCTGGGTTAGGAAGGAGGGCCCGGGAGGACGTGGCAGAGGGTGGGCTCAGAGGGAAGCTGGCTGGCTCCGTGCACCACGGTTCGGAGGGACCAGGTGGGCGAGGGGCTGGGCAGCACCAGGGTTCCCGGTGAGTGGCAAGTGGTGTCAGCAAGCAGCTGGCTGCATCGGCAGGAGGGCTATTTGAATGGAAAGCACAGGAGCTGAAGAAGAGTCCATTTCCCGGGCACCAGGGAGCCTGATTCTCTGGTCACATAATGGACGAGGTGTCCGGGGGTTAAAAATCAAAGGGGTGGTTCCTGTTTTAAGGGTCAAGGAACGGGCACATTTCTTGGTGGAGTAATCAACCAAAGAGCCCCATTCACGTTGACATGAGATGGTGCCCTTCAGCGAAGGTTAATTTTATGTGTCAACGTGACTGGGCCCCGGGGTGCCCAGATATGTGGTTAAATGTTACTCTGGGCTGTCTGTGAGGTTGTTTCTGGATGAGAGGAACGTCCGAGCCACAGACTGAGAACAGCAGGTTGCCCTCCCTGACGTGGCTGAGCCTCAGCCCATCGATGGAGGCAGAGGAGGGAGAATTCATTCTCTCAGCTGGGACACTGGTCTTCTGCCTGGACTGGACCTGAGGCTCGGACTGGAGCTAACACCATCATTTCTCCTGGGTCTCCAGCTTGCCAGCTGCAGACTGTGGGCTTCTCCGCCTCCATAACCATGTGAGCCAATTCCTTACAATAAATCCTTCTATATTCACATCCATCCTATTGGTTAGGTTTCTCTGGGGAACCCGGACTCACACACCTTCCATTTTTCTCTCTGGGGCACCAAAGGCCCATGCATATTACCAGAGGCTGATATTGTTACTACGGACAAAGAGGGTGCCAAAACACAATCCTGCGGGGCCCCTACAGCAGGGCCCCTCGGTGTGCTCTGTGGACCACTGCCAGGCAGACACGGCCTGCGGCTGGTCTGCAATGAGCTCCTTTCAAAGTGGAGAGACCACTTTGAAATGTTTATTGCATTGTCCCAACATCTAAGCATGTGACCAGTTGACTTGATTTATCTTTATTTTATTTTTCCAGTAATTCC